AAGCAGATAGACGATTATGTGAATCTATTTGGAGGAATAAAGATGGTGGTTGGGCTCTCAACAACTCGGGAGGAAATTTCGGGGGTCGTTCTTACTATAATAATAAAGGTGTTTGTGTCGACATAATCTCTCTCGCTTCCTTACCGAATAAAGTGTCACAAAGGACTCTATTTGTAAGCGAAATGAAGTGAAGATTTATAACTTCACAATTTGCCACAGGATTTACCGCTTAAGTGAAGTCACAATACAAGTGCAAAAACAACATTCTACCGTGTAATTTTACATCATTTATAACTGATATTAAAAAAATAGTGAAATTTTTAAAATTTATATAAACTTTATTACATTAATTTCCTTATTATGGATATAAAAAATATTTATTATATTTGTTTTAAAAATAACTTATATAAAAAAAGAAACGATAAGAATTTTTAAATTTATGTAAAAAAAAGCAATATAGAAAGTCTTTTTAACATAAACTTTTGTGGCAATTAATGTAAAAAGTTATTTCTCTCTTTTAATTTACATCAATTTTATAAACACAGAGTCATTATTCTTGCATTGCAGTTCATACTAGCAATCAAGAGTTTACTGTTCTATATTGCATAAGATTTTGGAACGTGCTTTTCTCTTTACGATAGTATACATTCACCTTCTTTTGGTTTGAGTTTCGTCATTGGTACACAAGTCTTTTTCTTTTCCTTATACTTTTGTTGTATTTTATTCTGGTTTGGCACTAAAGGTGGTTGGCGTGGGCATCATTCTGAACTTTTTCACAACGCTAATAGTTTATACTAGGTGAAATCAAGTTAGTCAACATTCCACGTTATTAGTTTCTAACTTCTATAAATTGAGTTTGGGTGATCATCAATTATAAAATTTATTGAGAAGATTAGTATTTTTTCTTGAGAGAGATAGTATTTGCTACCTGATTAAGAGATACACCTTAGAAAAAAAATTTTGTGCATCAATGATGAATGAAAAAAATAAATAAATAAAGAACTCCTGTGCTAAAATCAAACAAAATCTAGCTTGATATTAATATTAGACATTTTTAAGCTATGTATTTAGACTATTTTTGTAAGTGGTAGAATAAAAGCTTAATTTGTTCCTTCTTTAACACTTGAAATTGTAGCTATTTTACTGGTTATACGTTGTTCATATGTCCACGATTTTCATTGAATTAACTTTAATTTTCAGTAATTTTCAAACGGATAAGATGTAATTATGTTAGTTACTCAATAAATGCATTTAAGGTGGATTATCTCAGGTATTGTAGAAATCTTAGCTTACATTCCCTTGCTAATTCCTACTCTAGGAAAAAAAAGTTTTATTTATGATGACTTAGAGGCTATTAGAGAAAAGATCAAACAAGAACTTAGAGCTGAAATTAAGCAGTAGATCTTTTTTAAGGAAATACAAATCTCCAAGCTTGTGTATTCTTAAAACCTCTTGTCATAAAGAGAGTATCAGCACCAAAATGAGTAGTAGCTTAGTGGATGCATCCGAGGATGGTCTTGATTAGTGTAAGCTGTTCATAGAAAGCCCTCTACGTGTAGTGACATATAACATAGTACCCAACTTAGATCCAATCATACATCATAAAAAAAATGATAGTTCGATTAGAATAGTGATTGAACAGGTTAAAAATACTATCTTTGTACCAATTCAGGAAGTTATGACAATGAAAAGCTCTTAATCATTTTATTTTATGCTTTATACTACTTATTTAATTTGCTACTGGTCATGTATACTTTCTTTAAATAATGTATTATATCACCATTATTTTTAATTTAATATGTATTAATAATCTCAATTTATATAGGATATTGATGAAACTGCAAAAGATACTCCTTATTAGTTAAAATAGTTAGATTTTAATGTACTTAAATACTTATGTATATTGGCAATGAAGTTATAAAAATAACATTAGCATTTGCATTTGGATGCTGAAATTATATGTAAGGAATATTAATCTCATTGTATTTAAGACAAAAGGATATTGTGGAGCTTATAATAAGTAAAAAATGCTTTACATTTTAGAATTTTAAGTGTGGTTAATATAAGTTTATTGATTTTTAGGTATTAGTCAATTCAGTGTTAAAACACTTACACTTAATAATTCTATATGTCTATTATGGAAGTATTTACTTGGCCTTTTTATTTCAAAGGAGATGGCTCATTTGTATGAAGTCCTTGACCCTATTCACATTTAGAGCATAGGAAAAAAGTATGAAGCTATCTATACATACATTCAAATAAGGTTGTGTGAAGCTAAAGCGGAATGTTATATTAATATATTATACTATCATTATGAGTAAGTTTGTCCTTGTTATATTTTCATAACTTTAATTTCAATTTTCTTAATAACTAAAGTAGATTGTAACAGTCATTTACAGTTATTAATACTTTGTTCAAGACGAATTGAAGTCATTTTCTTTTGATCGTTAAAGAATAAACCTAAAAAAGATATAAAAGACATTATTAATGTGTAATTTTATTAAAATACTTGTTATAAATTAGACATTATATTTACTAATTTCAAATATTAATTTAAATTACATAATAATTAAGATTTAAGCAACAATAAACTATTTTAAAATCAAATATTCAATTTTACTATACAACAAATTACAATATTATTTAAAAATAATTTTTAAAATAATTTACTTCAAATTTAAATAACAAATTTGTCAATTTATTTAATTATTGACTACTAATTACTAGAAAATAAGAAATTTGTTTTTTTCCTTAATTTTACAAAGTCTAAATAATTAATAAAACTGAAATAGTTGAAAAAATTATTCATTTAAAAATAAATTCATAACTACATTTTCAATCATGAAATAATTTGTATAACGACAATTTAATTTAAAATAATAAATAAATTATTTTAAATACTACATAAACTAATCTCTAAGAATCTTTATCCGAGATAATCAAATCATAATTTTTAATCTAAATTTAACAAGTATGTACTATTTTTTTTTATATTTTCATTAACTTATCACTATTTCAAAATTTCAATTTAACAACAATTTCATATTTACAAACAAAATTTCTAAATTATAAATTACCCATTGATGTTATATCTAACCATGTAGTACAAACCGTTGATGTAAGAATAGTGTAATTAAACAACTCAAAATATTTTTCACTGATTAAAAACATATAAACAATATTAGTTATATTGCTATTTTTCTAAACATGAAAACATATACAAATATAATGCACAAATAACTCAAAATAAGTAAAAATACAAAATTAGTTATGTTGATATTTTACACATGTTATGGATTGATCCTATGTACACACAAGATCAATTGATAATATATGTTAGACATGACGAAGTTTTATCTTCAATAACTTCTTTCACGGGTGTTAAAAGTTATCGATAAAATAGTTGTATTGAAATTGCTCGTGAAAAGAAAAATGAATTTACAATGCTTCATACAATTTTAAAATTAATTTACTTAATTTTAATATATCATATATTTATTTAAATTATAAGTAAATTTTTGTTATCATGCTACAGATCTACAAATATTTAAATTATTTAAAATTTAGTATACATAATATTGCATGATCCAGTAGTTATATTAATTTTTTTTTAATATCTGCAAAGTTTATATGCATATATAAGGAGAATCAATTTAAATTAATGTAATTCAAAATCATTCTTTCACTTATTCATAATATTTTAAAAGATAATAATTTTAAAATATCCATCCTTAAAATGGAAGCTCCTATCATGTAAATTATGAATATATGAACCATTAATTTTAGTGAAGATCTTCTTATTCTAGAAAAACTACTGAAAACTTATCATATTTTAATAATTTTTTATAAAATATAAATTTAACAAATCTAATTATCAAATCATATAACACTGCCATGTCAGATTTTTAGTAAATTAAATATTTATAATTGTTGTCTTCTACATGATATTTTCTTATATTTTAAAAAATATTGTATCCATTAAAATAAAACTAATTAATAAAATATTAAATAATTTTAAAATTATATAAAACTTTCATTTCAACTATTTGATTTATGAAATTCAAAATTCTTAAAAAAATGTTATTAAGTATAAAGAGTTTAATATCATGTTTAACGAAACTTCAATTAAATCAACGCTGCTATTTAATTTTTACAAAATTTTACACAAATAATCAATTAATTGTATTTCAATAATTATGAATAAAAGTTAAATGTGCAAAAAAAAGTTATAAAATGATATAAAAATACTCAGTCTTAATTTTGTATTTATTAATCTCCCTCCCATATCAATTTATCCTCTTTACCCAACTCTCTCACGCCTTTCTCCAGTATATTTCGACATCTAATGCTCTGCAATGTTTAGTAACTTATTTCTCGATTCGTGATCAGTCAATGTTAATAAAGATTGATCATTGTCTATAGATACCGATTAATTGGCATCACAATTGATCAATGTTACTTGGGCATTGGTAAATCTCCAAACACATCAACCAATGTTCATCAATATTAATTAATCTTGCGACCAATTGACAAATCACTATAAATATTAAGATATAACATAGGATTGTAATTTTACAAGTGAAGAATCAAGAAGAAAAACAATCTAGAGAGAATTCGTGTGTCGCCATACATAAAATTAGGTGAGAACACGCTTTTATGAAATGAACTAATCTAGACTAGATATATTATAAAAAATAATCGATTAAGTTTATATTTAATAAAATGAATTTTAATTATCCATAAATGTTTGATGTAAAATTAGAGCCCCAAAGGAAGGTCAAACAATGGCCTAAAGGGGAAGAATCTATTAGGTGAATGTCGCAGAATGGAAGCTTCCGGTTGCCGAACCCTACCTAGCTGGTTGCAAGAATGTGGAGCTGTCTTTACCTTTGAAGTTATTATTTATTCCTACCAAAATCAAACCAATTTTCTGCGACTCCAACCAACCCCTACTCTATAAATTGGACACCGTTTTGGGACTTTCTTCTCCCACAAAAACTCTTCCAAGTCTCAAATTTTAAGACATACCAAATACAGAGATGGCTGTCACAAATGAAGAGGAACAGCAAAACCAACCCATTGGTCACAAAGATCTCTCTCATAAGAGTCTCCTTCAGAGTGACGCACTCTATCAGGTCCATTCAGTAACTATCAAATTATAAACAATATTTTCGTTTCCAAGTCCCATATTCCCTAACAATTGTCGTGTTGCAGTATATTCTTGACACCAGTGTGCATCCAAGAGAGCACGAATGCCAGAAGGAGCTCCGCCAGATGACGGAAAAACACCCTAGGTATCATCATAGTATTTATGATACACAAACATACAAAATGCGAGAGACCCAGCAAATTTTTATGAGAATTTTATACATGACTATAAAATGTGTCTGCCTCAAACTCTGTTTCAACGCAGAATTTTCAGCAGCTCGATTAGAACATATTGTATTACTCATATTGAAATTAATTTACACGATATTGTAAAACAGGAACCTCATGGCTACACCACCTGATGAAGGACAACTTCTGGGCATGCTGCTTAAACTCATGAATGCCAAGAACACCATGGAAATTGGCGTTTACACTGGTTATTCTCTGCTCTCCACTGCCCTCGCTCTTCCCTCTGATGGAAAGGTCCTTAATACATTTATTAGCTCATAGATTTAAACTTTCAATAATACACGAGCTCGTAAAAGTCATGAAATTTAATGGGTTTATTTGAATTACTCCATAGTTTATTTAACTTTTTACGATGAAGGTATTTATTTCATACAGTAGTTTAGACAAACCTGAATTTAATTTATGGCTTATGTGATTGATTTGATTAGATATTGGCCTTGGACGTGAACCGAGAATACTATGAGCTGGGATTGCCCATAATTCAAAAAGCTGGAGTGGCTCACAAGATTGACTTCAGAGAAGGACCTGCTCTTCCTCTTCTTGATGAGTTGCTTAAAGATGTGCGTACACCATTTTTGTCACCATCTTAATTTTCGTTTACGGATAAAGGAAATCAAACACATTTACTTACTGATTGTACTTCAATTATATATTTACGATGGCTTAACTTGCTAAAGGGAGTTGGTGATTCATTGAAACCGTGTGAATTTTGTAGGAAAACAACAAGGAAACATTCGATTTCATTTTCATAGACGCTGATAAGGACAACTATTTAAACTATCACAAGAGAGCGATTGAACTTGTGAAGATTGGGGGTGTGATCGGGTACGATAACACCCTATGGGGTGGATCTGTGGTTGCCCCACCTGATGCGCCTCTGATGGATTACATCCAGCATTATCGGAGTTATGTGATGGAGCTCAACAAGTATTTGGCTCAAGATTCACGAATTGAGATTTGCCAACTCCCCGTGGGTGATGGGATTACCCTATGCCGCCGCATCATCTGATCATTCTTCGCACCCCATTCGTGTTCTTCAAGAATTTGGATTTATATTTTTTTTAACAAAATTATGTGTGTCGTGTGTGTTTTTGACTATAGATTAAAAGCACTCTTCTGCATGAAGAGTATGGGTGGGTTCCAAAGGTTTTATTTATAGATCAAAATTGGTATTTTACCTATGGGTAATAAAGGGAAGATCATTCAACCTACAAAAGTTATGTACCCAAAAACAAAAACAAAAAAATTATATTCCTTGCTTGATTTTTAAGCTGGATTTGCTTTGCTTAAAAATATATTATGATTTGTTTATTATGAAGTTATTTAAAAATTGTTTGAGTTTGAGAAATAATTAAACAATAAAATTTTATTAAAAAATGTATAACCTAAAACCGTAAAATAAAAAAGAAAAATTATTTTAACCAGTAGAAAGAATTCCATATTGAAGGAAACAAGAAAAAAGGTAAGGTAAAATTTAGTTTTGCATTCTCCTCTGGAATTAGTTTAATTGGGTTAATGGGTGCAGATTCATTCTGTAATGTGTTATGTCCATTTTCAATATCTCTGTCTCTTTTTTTTTTTTTTTCTTTATCCTATGATAAGGTTTATATATTATAAGCTCTCATTTTGTGACATTAGTGAAACATAATAAAAAAAAAAACTTAACGGACATGTAACCTGCCATTCAGATTTTAATTTATTTACTCGCATTGCATTACAACAATTAATCATGCTCGATATTTATACGAGTAAAAGTCGGTAATTTACTCATAAAGACCGACATAAAACAATTAATAATTTTGACTGCGTGATCTTATCTAATGAGTTAAATCCATCGCAAAAGTAGTTGCAGATTTTGACCGTTCAAAGGCTTAGAAAACTAATCTTTCATTTAGATAAATCTTGGAGAAAAATTCCGGCAGCTTCTAGCAAATTAAAAGTAGTCTAGTCTCAAACATCCTCTCTTAAACAAGGTTTCGTTATTTCAAGCTTATTCTTCAATTGGTAAAATAATTCAATCTTTAGTAATTTTGAAAAAATATTTTCAATTCTTTTTTCTGTATAATAAATAATAATCTTCAATTTTTTCTTATCTCCCAACTCTCAAACTTAAATATAATGTGCTTGGATTATTCATCAAAAATTAGATTCTTTGCATAAGACAATAACAAACTTATTATTACAAAATATTTTAACGGGAGTATCCTACTTTTAATGCATCACTTTAAGAATTTTTCGTAATCATAATGCCTGTGTAGCATAATTGATTATTGTTATATATTTTGCTTCAGCTCTAAAAGAGTACAACAATTGGTTGTTTGACACTGCACCAATTTTAAGATGAATTCTAAGATGAAATGTATATCATGATGTATTTTTCCTTTTATCTATATCTCTGTTCAATCATTATCTATGAATCCAACAAGCTTTACGTCATTACTTTTTGCATAAAAAGTTCCATCAATCATATATCATAAATTATCTTTGCTCCATGCAAATGAATTCTGTGAGGTTCTTCCCAAAATCTACCTTATAATTCTACTCTAAAAATAATATCTAATCTAGTTACAGTTAAATCTAAGTCTTTCAATTAAACTCTTGTAGCAAGTTAAATTAACTTTTTTTTCATTAACTTCTCTTGTTAACTTTAACTTTTCTTTAATTGGTGCAAAGATTAACTTTGAATTTTTTATTTTAAATTTCTAAAATATTTATCTAAAGACATTTAATTATAGCTTTCCTAAATTCTCAATCGTCTTTGAATTATTGATAATAAACATTAAATCATCAACATAAGGAATACAATAAAAATATCATCATGATCAACAACTTTAATATATAAAGTGTACTCAAATGGACATATTTAAAATCTATGCTACATGAAATAAAAATCAATCTTATTGTATCATATTCTTAGTACTTGTCTCAAGTCATATAAAACTTTCTTTAACATGTAAACTTTATCTTACTTGCCTTTGATCACATACTCTACATGCTACTCAACATACACTTCTTCCAAAATTTTATTTAAGAACGCAGATTTAACATCCATTTGATATATTTTTCAATTATTTTGAGTTGAAATAGATAAAATCATACAAATTGCATTTAATCTTGCAACAAGTGTAAATACTTCAAAATAATAAATACCTAACTTCTGCTTATATCCTTTTGTCATCAACCTTACATTAAAATGATCAATTTTACCACTGAGTTTGTACTTTGTTTTGTACACCCATTTCACTTCAATTGATTTCTTATCTACTAAAAAATCTATCAATTCTCACGATTTATTCTTCTCAATTGCATGAATCTCAACATCCATGACTTTTCTCCAATTTTGATCATTTGTAGTTTCTTCAAAAGTAACTGGCTCACAATCTACAAATAAAGAAAAATTAATTTTTTTTTCATCAAATGACTCATTATCATAACCCATAATATAATCCTCCAATCCAATTGGTAGTCTCCATTGCCTTTGTAGTCTACTTGATGTTTCTGACTCATCAAGTGTTGAGTCTATATGTTCATTCTAGTCAATATAGCTATTTGGAATCACCACCGGCTACTTTTGGATTTATGGAGATTAGTTCCATAATTTTTCTTCATTAAATGTCACATCTCGGTGATAATACCCTTCTTTGTCTTTTAATTGTAAACTTTGTATGCCTTTAAATTTGTACAATAGCAAACGAACAGACATTTTTCTCCTCTATCATTAAGCTTCTTCATTAACTAATCTGGAACCCAAGGACATATGCTTTACACCTAAAAAATTTGAGGTGCCAAATAGATTATTTCCTTCTGCTTAGGGTTTTTTTCTGATATTTTGTCATGAATGTTCTTTGTTAGACATTTGTTCAAGATATACATAGCAATAACAACAGCTTTTGTTCTAAATTCTTTAGGCATTTATTTTACCTTTAGCATACATCTAACTATATCCATGATTATTTTGTTTTTCCTTTCGATAATTTTATTATGTTAAGGAGTGTATATAGTTGTTAGTTGATGATTGAATTCATGTTGCTCAAAGAAATCTGTACAAACAAGCTATTTTTAATCCCTGTCTATTCTTAATATTTTATTCTTGCAATCACTTTATTTCTCTACAAATATCTTAAATAGCTTAAAGGCACAAGCTTTTAATTTTCACTTCAAAACAAGGAAAGTGTTACAAATTAATATCAAATAACTGCTACAAGACTAGTTCAGTTACAACAATTTCAAAATAAAAGCTAAGTCCTATAGCAGTCTGTCCATCCCTTCACTGAGTCTGATGTTGATCGTCTTGATTACCTGAAAGATGAATATAAGGGTGGTACTCTATACTACCTAAAAGTACACAATCAACGTAGAGCCTCACCTCCAAAACATTTCCAATATATTAAACAAACAAAATCACAAGCAGCATTATCACACAGCTCATGTCAATTTAACACCGATGCACTCACATCATCGGCAACATTTCACATTCATAAGTACAATACATAAATCTATGCATATGCATGCTAGCCACACTCATTGTGACACTGTGATCACATATTTCACTATGAATGGTCGCCGATTACCCCCGTCTCACGGATACCACGTGACAGTCACGGGTTGCTCAGCAAATATAGTAGTCAGAGGTTTAGTCAAGAAGAGAGTGTGTGGCCTGTGATGCACCCGTTCCGCAGTCGGTGTCACCACCACTCCCTCTTCCCTAAGGTATTTCTACCGTCCTCATCTCCCACATCCCCAGTGTATCGCTGAACCATTCACAGCACATTACAACGACACTAACACACCCATTCACACTTATTTTATTCACGCATGCAATAGTCATGCTTACACACAACACACAGCCCACATGGCACTCAAATACACGGCACTAGGCTCACATTCATTTCACATTACACGACACATAACCCACATTTATTCACAATATCATTAATTCACCAATCAATGGCATTCCATCACACACAATCACCCTCACAGGGTCCAATTATTCTATCACACATCACATTGCATATCAATTTCCATCAAACACACAAGAATTTCAATACATTGAGATAGGGTAGAGTCCCCCCTTACCTTGGATTGAAGACCCACACTTGGATTCAATCGCAAACGTATTCCCTACACAAATTTTGGCCTAAAACACATGGAAGAACTTCATGAGAACCCAAGGAAACTCAAAAATAGAGAAAATGGTATGAGAAACGGAACCCTAACAATAAAAACTAACCTCCAAGCGTTCCCAACACGGATTCAACCTTCAATCAAGCTCTCGAACAACTTTGGAGGTAATTAATCGGTGGAATAGGGCTTTGGGTATGAGAGGATCCAAGGGATTTCGAAAGGAGAGGGAGAAATAACTCTCCCCGAACCCTAACCCCCTTTAAATTCTTTCTGGTCGCGACACTCTCGCTGCAGCGACACCCTCTGTCGCCACAGCGAAAATCTCAGATGAAATTGCACTCTGATTTCTGCAGAATCTCGCTACAGCGAGACTACACCCAGAAATGCACCCCAAACTGTCATTTTGTCGCTACAGTGAGACGTCTCTCGCTACAGCGAGAAGGCGACAATTTCAATCCTTCCTCCCAGGGCTCTCTCGCTACAGCGAAAATCCTCTCACTGCAGCGAGAACAGCCCAGAATTACTCCCTGCATTAGGCACTTAGGTTATTTCAGCCATATCCAGTTATGCATACACACAATACACACATCCATATACTTAATACACATAAACATCATTATCAAGTAAATCAACACACACACACACACACACACACACACACACATATATATATATATATATATATATATATGCATTTAGATTTATATATAAATAAAAATAATTAATATTATCAAAATTTGAGGCGTTACACTCAATAGATTATGATGAAGATCAAGATCAAAGAAAACATTCAAGATAAAATTTTGTGAACCATCTTTCAATCTAATTATGATTGAGTCTTTTCTCAAATTTTGAATATTTGTATTGTTATCAAATTTAACACTTTAAGTAATTGTTTCATCTAGTAAAGAAAATAATTCATTTTTTTCACACATATGATTACTATACTTGGTATCTAAATACTATATACTTTTATCTTCTGAGAAATTATTGCTTGCTAGAAA